ATTTCTGTGTGTGTGTGTGTGTGGTTTATACCTTTTGTGCGTGCTCGCTTTCAATGTGCGAGCATTGCTGCCCCCGAGGGGCAAGTTCATGGCTCTGCGGCAAGCCCTAAAAAAACCAAATCTTCTTTAAATTGCCAACTATGTGGCGTATCTATATGTATATATAACAGTATATATATATCGTGTGTATATATATGAAGCATTTGGCATTTGGTGATTGGAATTGAAAAGTTTTGTTTGAAAAGAAATGTCTTTGGCTTTCATTTCGGTTAGGGCCTAATGCAAATATAATGGTTTCTGATTGTTCAAGATTAGATTAGAGTGGACCCAAAAAGTTGCAATTCAATACTGGCAATACGTATGCAATTCAATTAACTCTAGCAATACACTTAGGCACCATCTGTCAATGAACTTACGTTTACCATTTGCGTCTCTAATTAATTAGGCGCATTAGAGTCTGTTGCGCATGATTATTATTAATTAACGTTCATGAATAATGCAATCGATTAGCCAGTCCGAAAGACTTTAATTCAATTTTGGTAATTGCTTCCATAACGCAAAATACAATAAGAAACTAACGGCCATTGGGTCCACTTTAATGTTTCGGCATATGTTGATATCCTGCGCTGCTGCTGCTGCTCTTGTGGGCGGGTTATGCCCATCGTTAATTGTTAACTGAAATTTTAATTAAATATTTTGACAATGACGCAAATACCGCAAATGCTTTTTGGCTCCGTCAAGAAGACATGAAGCCTCAACGACAAATATTTAGCACACAGCTGCCTATTACCAGGACTTGACTTGTGTCTATATGAGTGTGTGTGTGTGGTTGTGGGTGAACGTATAGGTGTAGGTGTGTGGGTGCTGCTTTTAATGAGCGCTCAGTAAACACTTAAGACGAGGTCTCAAAATGACGCCTTTCAATTTAATAAACAAAATGACATTGCCTGAAAAGTGGGCTTGACTTATAGGGAGGGCTTAAACTTATCAAATGAAATAATAAGAAAGGGTGCGAGGAAGTGAGAGGGGAAGCAGGAGAGAGGGAGAAATGAAGGGTGAGTGGGAATAAGAGTGATATGTCGGAAGATGAAGAGAGATGAAGAGAGGAGGGTGGGAAAAATAAATAAATAAAAGTAATAGTTAGATAAAGAGAGACACAGAGAAAGGAAGAGCGAGGGAGAAAGAGAGAAAGCGATATATAGCTATTGAAAGAGAGATAGAGAAGGAGATAGAGGAATATATATAGAGGGAGAGATAGCGAGGAAGGTGGAGTGATAGTTAGGAAGCCAGAGAGAGTTATAAGAGAGAAAGGAGCAAGAGAGAGAAGAGGGATGAGAGAGATGGAGGAAGAAGAGGGAAATAGAGAGATAGGTATAGAGAGCGAGAGAGACAGGTATAGAGAGAGGGGGGAGGGGGAGAGAGAGACAGAGACAGGTATAGAGTTAGATGTAAGTACAGATATAGACAGACAGACGTGGAGAGAGAGAAAGAAAGGGAAGAAAGTCAACACGGAGACACCTCTAATAGGCTGGGCATATACCTAGGCTATAAGTCTATATTACTTTGTGGATTCTTGCTGTGAAGCTGAGGAAGATATAGCTTTTGCAAGGAACTATATAGTATATAGATTATCATTATATATCATTTTGGACTTTGCAGTTTGCAGATGTGAAATTAATTTCCATAAAAATGAATTTGCAGTCATGACCAGATATATTTATATATACTTATCTATCTATATACATCTATATATATCTATCTATATTTATCTATATATATATACTCATATCTATGATTAGGTAAATCTAAGACGCTACGATTTCCCGTGTTGCACAAAAATAGCTTTTTCTATTTTGTTTAAGTTTATCTCGCAGATATTTGTTTGTTTTCCAATTTATCTGAATGTCTTAACATTATTTGATAAATTAAACAAAGCAAATCTATTTTTCGTTTCATCATTTCCAGCTACTAATTTGTTAATTTAAGCCTGATTTATTACTTGTTTCAGACAATGAATTATTGCTTTGAATAGATGATTAAAACAAAACTTGAAGCAACTTTTTTAAATATTATGCAACATTGTCGAGTTGCTCGTGGCGCGTAGCTTATCTCTATCAATGAGTTGCCATAACTTGCCCCAAAGTTTGCTTTTCTTATTGCATAACACTCAGTTTAATTAATCAACATTTGATAATTTCTGAATTCGCTTTAAATCGCAATTTTCTTGCCCCTCAACGCATGCAAAGTTTTAAGTCCTTTTAACGACATTTTAAGCCCGTGTCATTGCGCAATTCACTTTGAGTTGTAGTGTAATGAATACATATATATATCTATCTATATAGTGTATTTGTGTGCTCTGCTTTGCTTACCTCCCAGATGAGTCGAAAATCCTGCTGTTCGACGCGTAGCAGCTCGCAGGTTGTCTTCGTCACGACGGTGCTGTCCCTTGGCAGGTCGTGTAGTATTGATTCGCCAAATGTGGCGCCCACGCCAAGATTACACAAAGTGACGGAGCTCTGCAATGAGGGGAGAAACGCGTAAAAAGGACGTAAGAAATTGGGTATCCGTGTGTTAAAGAACTAGCCGAAGGCTACAGGCTAAAAGCTGCTCAAGTTTAGTTGCAGCTGTAGATTAAACCATTTCAGTTAAGCACAGTTGGCTCTAAACCAGCTATGTTGACATTGCACAGTGTACACATACTTTGTTCCCATCTCTTTTTCTCTGTTTGCTAATTGCTCAATGTGCCACAATTTGTGTCAATGCTGCAATCTTGTGGCAGATTGTTAACAAAACATTTGCTTACCCCAGCTGTAATCGCTTCATTGCACTCAAGTTTCAGCAATAAAATCTGCAACGGAAGCTGGCAACTTCTGTCAACCGGATATGTTGTGACAGAGCCTCCTCTCGGCATAGACCCAAAAAATGCAATTTCATTGACAAACGTGCAACTCCCCGCCCCTCGCCCAATTGCCACTCACAAAGGGCTCAGAACTAAGCGCCGTCTAACCGCAACATTGAAATGTCATTCCATTTGCCAAGGCAGCAAGTTTTCTGCATAGCTGAGTTTGTCTATGCCCAGCGATTAGAGTCGAGCTGGGGTAGTTGGGGCTATTATATTTATTTTTTTTTGTTTTTAAATTTTAAGGAATTAAGCATGTATTTTATATAGATTTAAATTGGTTTTTCGATTCTTGAAGAAAGTTTTTGTGTTAGTAAATTTGGGAGTCTAGAAGTAAAAACTTTGTGGCAGATAAATTTAGTTAGTTGGAATAAGTTGAAATAGAATTTCTATGACCAATTTATGTTTTTTTTTTTGTTAATTTATTTGGTCATTAAATTCTATCCATAAATATAATATAACTTTTTTAGAAATTCATTTTCATTGCTTCCGATATGATAATTCGTACATTTCCATATCAATTCACTTATATTTTAAAAACACTCAAAGAGTAGTTGAAAAGCTCTTGCCACATTAATGTTTTATAAAATATTTGTATATTATTTAATCTATTAACTAATCTTAAAAGCGATTAGATTAGTTATGTATGTGCATAGACTAGACTTTATTATCTATATAGCAGTGTCTGGTGGCATAGGAAAGTAAAAAATGTATGAATCATAGAAAGTCTAGCTAAAAAAATGATATAATTTATTTAATTATATATATATATATATATACTATATCATGGTTAACTGAACAAACATGACTTTTCCTAATCAAATTTCTGTATATCCAAAGTTGCCAAAAATTCCCCTATTCAAATTCATAAAGCAAAAGCAATAAAACATATTTTTAGGGTATTCCCGCATCAGTCACTGCTGTTTAGTAAATTTTCTCTAAATTGTTGCTAAGTTTGCATCTGTGGTTGCTGCTGTTTGTGCTCGCTGTTTGTTTTAGCGTTTTCCCAGAAGACAACTTCTTGGCATTGCCCGAGGGCCCAGCCTCATTTCAGTGGGCTTAAGTTAGGCTCTGAGACGAAAGATGGGAGTTGAGTGCGGCCAGAGCTCGAAAGCTGAGGCACTGCGCGCTTGGTCTGAGGCAGCGCATATAATTGGCTTAACAAGACTTACACACGACCGCAAAATTGTTAAACTCGCATTAGTCAAAGAGGTGTGTGTGTGTGTGTGTGTTTGTTGGTGTTTGTGTTTTTGTTCGAGTTGTGCTTGAGTTTTCTTTACAGTTATAGCACATGCAGTGGGTTTTTTGTTTGTGCCACAACAGCATCAAAGACGCAAGATCCGCTATAAAGCATAATTTAATTATTTCTTTGCTGTGTAATTACGATTGTTGTTGGTTGGTCAAATTGCTGACTGGAATATTGTTGGCGACCCATTTTGAAAATTTCATTTACTTCGACTTGATTTATGGCGACTTTTGTTTTTGACAAGTCAAAAGTATTTTCCGCTTTTGTGCGCTTTGTCGGCGCTATAAACGCGATAAATTATTTGATTGCTTTCTAATTGTTGTTGCCGCAAGATTTGTTTTTTTTTTTTTTTGATTTTTATTTTTTTTGTGGGCAAGCAGAGATACATTTTAGATAAAACAGAGAACCATGAATCGTTTATAAAATCAACCCACACACATACAAATCTGAATCGCAGCATAAACAACATAAAGTTCGTCTATTTTACTGTGAAATCAATTTAATTGCGAATTTTAATCGTTCAAAGAACTCAAAGAGCTGGCTACATTAATATTTGTTTATCGCAGCGCAAAGAAAGTGGATTTTATTGAAATAGTCTGTTGAACGTACAAATGAGCTCAATAATAATTATTTTTATGCTTTTAAGCTGTTTGCCAAAGGTTCTATTGATTTTTTATACAATTTTAATTTTTTTTTTTTTTTGTTATTGATTTAATTTGTATTTTTGTTTTAAGTTGCGTGCTTAATGAAGAGCTTATTAAAATACTTTGAGGTTTTTTTAATTTAAATATTTAAATTTGCTTTTCTTACAGAAAAATTTAAAAATCCAAGTTTATCTATAGCGCTTGGCCATGCATCAGAAAAAGGAAGAATTTGGAAGATAAAATACGAATTTGAATTAAGAAAAATTATGGTAAGTAAATAATTCTTCTTATTATTATTTTACAATGAACAATTTCTGGGTAGTCTTCAGCTATTAATTATTTAAGAATTTGTACTATATATTTTTTTTAATTATTATTTTTAAAATCAACTTTATACTTTCGTTTTTTGTAAGACTAAAATAAAATTATTAAAAAATTAAATATTTAATTTTAATATTTATTCAATCATTTCGTAAGCTTATTCATTTTATACAGTTCTTCAAGATCAAAATTGAATTAAAGTTAATCAAACTACCCTCGTTTATCTTAAACTCATTTAAATTCAGAGCAACTGTTGATTAATCAACTCTTTTGTTTCATTCTCTCTTGTTTTCGATTCTATATCTAATGCTGCCAATTTTCACTTGCGTCTCTTTCAACACAATTTTCCGGCGGAAAAGTCTTGCAGCTTTGGATTTCGGTTGCATTGCATAAATGCGATTTATAGTTGAGGCGGGCTTATTGAGCCGAACTGCTTCAATTTCCATTTGTTGCTTTGTTATGTTTCGGCTAGGATGGAGTCTATTGTATGAAATTTAATTGAAAGTGCTTAGAAAGTGTTTAACATAAGCTCTGAGCTTTGAATAGATTTTACTTTGTATAGTGAGTAAATTTGAATAAAACAAGGATTTTTTTAATATTTCATAAATCATTTTGCATGAATAAAGTTTGGAATAGGCAGAATGTTAATAAGCTTACTTTTTATATACTGTTTTCTTTTTTTATATATTTATATATATTTTATAAATCTTAAATAAATAAGATTATAAATGATAATTAATATTATGTATTAAATGTATATTATTATATATTAAATATATTTCTTTTTTATATTTACTTTATTTTTATTTTTTATTTTAGAACTAAGTCAAATTTTACGATTCACTCTATAACTATCAATAGCTACTGCTTTAAATCAATTCATTGACTTTATTACGCTTATGTGTAGCTATTATTTACAAAAATGTAGTCACGCTGCTTGCCTCTTCTGTAACAAAAAAAACCGAAAGCTTCTCCTTGAAATTCCTCCTAAACTTTGTAACGAAAGCAAAAGATTTATTACATTTGATTGTCTGTTTCCATTTTCCACACACATACACAGTGAGAAAAAGCGCTGACAAATGGAATCCTTTTGTGCATAGATAAATACTTTAGCTTGCAAAAAAGATGCCATGACATATGCAAAGAATGATGATGTCACCATCGACTATCCACAGCAGACGCAACATTGAACCATTGAACCATTGAGCACAAAGCTATCAAGCAAAGACACTTATTTGTATCGCACATCGGACTATATCTAGTCTATAGGTTTAACTGAAATGTGGGCACGTACATTTTACATATTTCTTTCTTTCGCTCTCTCTCTGTTTGATTCACATAAATGCAATGCAATGTTTTACCTTTGCATAATGTCGCGTTGATTGCTCCACATTATACGTACAACTGCGACGAAATAACATTTTCTTTTTAGCTTTCTTTTAGCTATAAAATATATATATAGGTTTTTTATGTCTTTTTTATATATGTGTGTGAGTTGTTATTATTTAAATTTTGCAACAATTTTTTCGCTGGTTTTTGTGTCACATGCTGTAATAAATTTGTTAACAAAAAAACTATTGGCATGCAAATGTTTTTTACTGTCGCTGCTGTTGTTGCTTGTTTTTCGGTATTTGTGAATGAAAATTTGCAAAACGTGTGTGGCGCACAGCTTATGGCATAGTATATATATATATATATTGACATTTTTAGGCTAGTATTTCTAAAGCGTGCCAACAGCAACGACGAAGGCGATAACAACATTTGCATGCGGCAAACACACATACGACTCATGTAATATCAATTATTACGAATTCTTTTTGGTTTTTTAGCGCGTACCACTTTCGATTTATGGCCATAATTGTTTTGGGCAGCAATAAAACAAAAGTTATTTCAAAAACACGCGCTGCGAGATGTGCTCAACAAGTTGTGCAACCGCACGTTGTCGCGTCGCAAGCTGAACTGAATTGAAGTTGGCTGTTGAAGCCGTCACACGGCTGACTTTAAATTAGCGCCCAGGTGTATATGTGTGAGTGCAGGTGTGTGTGTGTGTGTGTGTGTATCTGCCTTTGTCTGCTGCTTTATGCAACGCTGCTGATGTGTGGCAGCAACACTTTGCCGTATGGCGTGTCGCAAATTGGAGCAGCCACAGTCGCAGCCTCAATCAGGCATGCAAAATACGCGTATCTCATATCATGTAGTGGTCAGCTAACAAAGTTGTCAACACAAAAATTTCAGCTCTGTTTACTTTGTGTGCAGCTCTGCTCGCATTGTTGCAGCTTTCACTGCGGCAGCTAGGCTACTTCAGCAGGCAAATGCAATTAATCCATTGACATAAGGGGGGAGTAGTAGTCGATCCACCTACAGCCAACTGGCCAAATGCCCAACTGCTGAGCTACATGCTCGTCTGACCAACACTTCCGTCTCTGACAGCAGCTGGCAGCAGCAGTTGCTGCACTTGCAACTAATTTTGCTTCTGGCCTGTGGCTAAGGCAATAGTCATGATTGCGTTGCTTGATGCGTGCGCTCTAATCGAAAATCGAATATGAAATGCGTTTGGGGACAAGCAGCTTGCACTGTGCGAAATTTCATGTAAAGAACTTGAGGAAATTTTGCTAAAACATATTTGGGTATAGAAGCTAATTTCTGCTAGTCTTTCAAATATAAATATGAATCTCCTAGGCTCTTCTTAAGTAATATATTATAGTTAGTTTCTCTGTTTAAGCTAGAGTATATAAAATACATATCTTTTGTCTTTCAATATTACCCTATTGTTATCTATACAAATATTAAATTATTTAATAAAAATTTTTGGTATTTTAAAGCAATGTGATAAGCTTAAGCTATAGCTATTACATGTTGAATCAATTTAAATATAATTTTATTTTATTTATTTTCATTTATTTATTTTTCTTGTATTATTTTTTATATTAAAAATATTTTTTCTATAGTTCTTGTTTTTTATATTATTTTTTTTTAATTTCTTTATTTTTACCTTGTTTTATTTTATTATAATTGAATTTTATATTATTCAAATTTATTTTTTATTTCTGTTTTATTTTTTTTAATATTTATTTTTAAAGTATTTTTTTTATATATTTTTTCTTTAATTATTAAAATATATAAAAAGTTATTCAATTTTTTCTTAGTTTTTTTTAACAATGCCTTCGTTTGAATCAGATTAACATGTATGCAAAATATGACAGCTATTTTCTCACAGTGTAATTGACAACGTACATTGCAATTACTAAAACTCCCCCATCTCCCTCGTTGATTCAGCGTTGAACTCATTTGCAGCAACTGAGTAAATGTGATAGTCAAAGTCTTCCTTTAATTAAGCAACTGTTTCTGGTATGCAACTTAGTCAAGTCAGTTTGTCGAAGGTGTTGCCAATGTTAAGGTTGAATAACCTGCCCTCTTCACAGCTGCTGCCTGCTGCCTGCTGCTTGCTGCTTTCTGGCTGCTCATTGCTCTTGTTTGATTTATTTCTCATTTCGTTTTTCACTCTCTAACTGGCAAGTGCTTTGTGGGTTCAACAAAAAACGCAACAAAACCAACTCAAGACTAGTAATTAATTTGTTTTCAGTCGGTTTTTTGACTGAAGGTGGAGCACAAGTCCAGAAAACAAGTCATTGACTGTTCGCAATGAGTAAGCAGCGGCTCAAGCATTTCACGAACGGATTGCGTGTCTCTGTAAGATACTAACAATGATTTGCATAAGCAGCAACGAAATTGTTTTAAAACGTATTTTGTTTAACAACAAACACGTGAATAACATATGCTCGGTATATTTCTGGTATACAGTTGATTTATTCAATGCGCTTTTTTGATTATTTATTATTCCACTCTTTATGCTTGTGTCTATTGTTTTTTTTTTTTTTTTGCATTTCATTAGTCTATGATTGCATAATTAAATGTTAAAAATAATTTAAATAAAAATTTTCTGTGAAAATAAAATATATGGAAAAAATACAGTTAATTTACAGTTAAAAAAATATTTTTATAGAAATAAAAAAAATTATTTTTATAGAAATAAAAAAATATTTTTATAGAATTTTTTTAAATACTTTCTTTTTATTTACATTGAATAATTGCAAAGTATTTAAATATGTCAACAAATAAAAAGCGACTGCTAGGAACTGCTCAACTAAGAAATACCCTAAAATACTGCAAGCATTCTATGTTCGGATTCTGATTGTGAGAGCGATTGGAGCAGGTGTCCATAAATGGCATGCTCAATATCTGTTTTATACTCCAGCCGTATCTACATAACAAATTTGTGGCGAGAGACACTCAAATATTTTAAGTTTGATTTTGGATTTAAGCAATTTCATAGTAATGCTCAAAGCTGTCAATGTTTTAAAAGCAACTTGAGCTGTGCGTGCTAGAAGAGCTGAGTCGAGTAGAATTTTCAATCTCTCAGTTTAACAGCTGCCGAGATCTACGAGCAGTAGGAACAGATAGACAGCGCTAAATCAATTTAGCTATTGATACATAGTAAGAATGATGTCTGCCACGCCTTTTTCTGCCTGTTACACGTTTGTTAGCTAAGCCAATATTCCTTTTATTGCTCTTATTAATGGACTTATCATGCTGCATTTGTTAGCCTGTAAAATCTTGTTTTCAGCTTTCAAACTGCGCAAAAAAATGTTAGAGAAACAATTTTGCATTCATATAATTTCTTTTTATAAAATCTCTTGATATGAATAATTCAAGAGAATCAATGTGTATATATAAAAAAAATATATATATATAAATATAAATATATATTACTTAAAAACGCCTCTTCTTGAGCACAGCTTGGGGTATATGAAACCCATTTAAATGTTTTTAATGTGTGCGACCAACGCAAAACGTGTGAACTTCGTTTTTAATGACATTTTTAGTTGAGCCGTTAGAAAATGGCACAATTAATAGAATTTTTCCACGCCTTTGGGATATACAGCAAAAAAAAAGAAGCTTAATGCAGCTTTTCAGTTCTTTGCACACGCCTCATTTTCCACGAGTTGCATGTTGCGTTGATATTAGATAAAAACATGATGAAAACAGAAACACTTTATCTTCGCATGCATAATTAAAATACGATTTTAATGTGGAACGAATTTTAAATAGTTTGATTTACGCAGACGTGACCTAAATTTTAAGAATATTTCCATTAAATTGACTTCGGCATGGAAAATATGTAGTCAAAGTGAGCCACACATATAGTTGCGCTTCCCATGCATAGATTACGCTATATATATATATAGATATTTGTAAGGAATTTAATGCAACGCAAACTATGTGCATGTGAGAGTATTTCGGTTAGTGGAAGATGCTTTAAAGCATTCAGTGCCAATTCGAATGTAAATAACTAAAATAGTTCAAGCGTAAAACGCTGAACAGATAAAATGCCAAAACGAAAAAGAATTTGGTTTTTTCTCTCTGCGTTTTGATAAAAGTTCGTGGAGCTTAACATGCAAATATAAAATCTGATATAATAAAATTACACAGAGAATAAGAAAATGTTTCACAGATAAAGTGAGCGAAAAAGTAGAGCATCAATGATGAAAAATAATCAAACTTTTTCAATGTTTCCATCTCAGAAAGTTCTCTGCAAAGCTGAGCATAGTTCATGAACTTAAATTGAAATCAATATAAAAACCTTTGCCATACCGAAACACCTGTCGTAGCAACAAGAAGTCTATTTATAGTTTGACAGCCTATCAGACTATTGTTCTGTAAATTCCTCTGATTACAGTTATTATAATCTAACTATCTGGATGGCTCTTGAGGCATAACAATTTAATTATTGTGACTGCAAAAGCAAAAACACATTTAAAACTGTTATCAAAATTTTTATCAGTTAAAGTGGCTCAAAGATATATTGAAAATTTTTAAATTACCTTTACTACAAGCAGAATGATAGCCAGTTAAGCCAGGGCATTGAAAAGTTTCTCAACAGGTTCATTATTTAATTATATATAGTAATAACACCCACATTTACATAAAGACAGACGCCACATGTCATTAGACCTAATGCGTGCTGATACAAACATGTATGACCACATCGCCATCTACTTTGTCACCTAATAACGTGGCTCAGAGCACATTTACATATTGCCACCTAAACACGCTCTACTCGCAAATGAATGCCGCCAACTGAGGCCAACACAAAAGACATGGGATCATACTTAAGAGGTATTTCAGTTCTATTGCAAACTGTAAACTTGAAGTTCCTAATGAGCTGGGCTAGGCCAATCCGTGTTTGCATTTGGCCAAAGCGCATTCCCACACAATTTCTGGGTCCATCGCCGAAGGGCAGCCACTCAACAGAGTCGCGAGCTGCCACCTGTTCGGGCGAGAAACGTTCCGGATCGAATTTCTCGGGGTCCGGATAAAAATCTTCATCCCGATGATAAGCTGGTGCGGGCAGGATTACTTGCATTCCCTTCTCTATAACATATTTGGAATGACCAGGTACAACATAGTCATTAAGTGCTTGTCTCACAAGGAAAGGCACAATGGTGTATAGTCGGAGGGTTTCTATTAGAACAAATGCACAGCTTAGTTGAGCGCCTTTTAAAGTCCAGTGGAGCTAGTGAACTCACCAGAAATAATCTGATCCAAGTATCGCATGGCTTTGATGCTTTCATAGGTCAGTTTTCCATCGTGTTGCTGCAGAACATCCCGAATATCTTCCCTTAGTCTATCCTGAATATCGGTATGTTGGGCGAGTTCATATAGAGCATAGGTCATGGTTGATGAAGAGGTCTCAAAGCCAGCCAAGTAGAAGACAAAGACCTGAGCTGCCAGCTCTCCAACATCCAATCCTGTGACTACTTCGCCATTATCCATCGTAAAGCTTCCTTTCTGCTTCAATTCAATTAACATCTGCATAAAGTCATTTCGTTTGATATTTTCCTTCTCTCTAAGTGCGATTGTTTCCTTGACTAAGCTCATGAAGAACTGGTGAACATCTTCCGGAACCTGTCGCATGCCCAGTTTTCTTGCCAGATTCGGAAAGCTGAACTGAAAAGCGCTCAAGACACGGCCATGGCGCATCTCAGTTAGAGATTTATTTGCCATTATACGGAAATCCGTCTTAGGATTACGAAGAGTATTGCACTCTATGCCGAAAGAACATGTGCCTATAACATCAGTAGTAAAGCGCGCCATCAGATCCTTGACTTCAATGATGGCTCCTCCAGTCTTATCTGGGACTTCCTCCAGCATAACCTTAACGAATTCCTCGGACACTTTGATGACAGTTGGGAACATGAACTTCATCTTGCCAGATGTGAAAGTGGGTGATAGCTTCTGACGCATCTCCTTCCAGCGCTTGCCATCCAAGTTGAAGAGATGTCCAGTGAGGGGATCATCGCGTTCATTGTGGAACTGTCCACGGTCGGCGAAGTTCGTGAAGTCCTTAATGAGAATATTCTTGGCCAGCTTGATATCCATAATAAAAGCACTTCGTCTTTGTAGAAAATTAAAACCCACAAAGGGATGACCAGTCTTTCGAAACTTGATATAGTATTCCTCTATTATTTCATGAAGAACACGATTCTTTCTGAATCCGACCATGTTTCCATAGAAGGGATGCGGAGGATCCTGAGGTATGCCACGGCTTTTCCAATAGTTCATATTGTAGTGCAAAAAATATGCAACTAATGCTGATATAGCGATCAGCAAGTATATAAGTAACAACATTTTGTGATCAGTTCTCGCCGACTTCTGTTTCAGTACTGAGCGCATTCGGCGCCAACCACTTGCAATTTATTGACTCTCGTTGGCCGTCTGATATCACCGTGATTCAGCTGATATTGCTTGGCAATGCATTTCGTTTTCAAGATAGTAGTTGTTGAAGTTCCTAGCATAATTTCATAATATCACCAAACTATTTTTTTATTAATTTCATTTCGTACATTTTTGTTTAAAGCTTTTTTACATTATTATTTCATAAAAAGTCAACCCAGACTAGAGAGTAAAAAAGCTTATGTAGCATTGGTATTTCGCTCACCTTAAATAGCCAAGCCGGTTTAAGCTCAGCTCATATAAAAAACACTCTCTTAAAAGTTCGTTCTTCAGATTATATTTTAACAAACAAGTTAACAGCAATGTTGATTACAATTGTATTCGAAATTCAAACACGCTCAGCACGCAAATAAATGCCTCCAACAGTGCCAAGTACCAGCGACTTGGGATCATATACAAGAGGTATATCAGTTTTATCGCACACTGTAAACTTGAAGTTCCTTATGAGCTGGACCAGCCCAATGCGTGTTTGCATTTGGCCAAAGCGCATTCCCACACAATTTCTGGGTCCATCGCCGAAGGGCAGCCACTCTACAGAGTCGCGAGCTGCCACCTGTTCCGGCGAGAAACGTTCCGGATCGAATTTCTCCGGCTCTGGATAGAGGTCTTCATCCCGGTGATAGGCAGCGGCGGGCAACACAACCTGAGTTCCCTTCTCTATGACATATTTGGGATGACCAGGGACAACATAGTCATTAAGAGCTTTCCTTTCGAGGAAAGGGCCTATAGTGTATAGCCGGAGGGTTTCTATTGAAGCAGATATGTAGCATAATTATGACTTCACTAAGCGCCAACTGCGGGTTTTAACTCACCAGAAATCACCTGATCCGCGTATTGCATAGCTTTTATACTTTCATAGGTCAGTTTTCCATCGTGTTGCTGCAGAACACTCTCAATATCTTCCCTTAGTTTATCCTGAATATCGGTATGTTGCGCCAGTTCATATAGAGCATAGCTCATGGTGGATGAAGAGGTCTCAAAGCCAGCCAAGTAGAAGACAAAGACCTGAGCTGCCAGCTCTCCAACATCCAATCCTGTGACTACTTCACCATTATCCATCGTAAAGCTTCCCTTCTGCTTCAATTCAATTAACATCTGCATAAAGTCATTTCGTTTGATATTTTCCTTCTCTCTAAGTGCGATTGTTTCCTTGACTAAGTTCATGAAGAACTGGTGAACATCTTCGGGAATCAAGCGCATGCCCAGTTTTCTTGCCAGATTCGGAAAGCTGAACTGAAAAGCGCTCAAGACACGGCCATGGCGCATCTCAGTTAGAGATTTATTTGCCATTATACGGAAATCCGTCTTAGGATTACGAAGAGTATTGCACTCTATGCCGAAAGAACATGTGCCTATAACATCAGTAGTAAAGCGCGCCATCAGATCCTTGATTTCAATGATGGCTCCTCCAGTCTTATCTGGGACTTCCTCCATCATAACCCTAAGGAATTCCTCGGAGACTTTGATGACGGTTGGGAACATGAACTTCATCTTGCCAGATGTGAAAGTGGGTGATAGCTTCTGACGCATCTCCTTCCAGCGCTTGCCATCCAAGTTGAAGAGATGTCCAGTGAGGGGATCATCGCGTTCATTGTGGAACTGTCCACGATCGGCGAAGTTCGTGAAGTCCTTAATGAGAATATTCTTGGCCAGCTTGATGTCCATGATGAATGCGCATTGCTTTTGAATAAAGGCGAAGCCCACAAAGGGATGGCCGGTCTTTCGGAATTTGTTGTAGTATCCTATCATGATATCACTCAGTGTGTGAGTCTTTCGGAATCCGAGAGCATTGCCATAGATCGGATATGGTGGGCTCTGCGGTATTCCTCGGCGTTTCCAATAGGTCATTTGGTGGTGCACAATGTACACCAACAACGCTGATATAGCGCTCAGCAAATATATGAGAAACAACATTTCGTGCTCAGCTCTCAACGACTTCCAATCGAGCACTGCCCGAATACAACGCAATCTGCTGGTATTATATTCTCTCTCGTTTATTACAAGCACGAAACAGCTAATATGATAATTTTGTGTACTTCATATCTCTATATATTTTATAAGTAGTCGACGTACTCGCTATCAAAGCTGTCTGTAAATTAGTTATAAATGTCTTTAATAGATGATAAGAATTTGAGGCAATGAGAGTTGAGTTACGGAGAGCGAAAGTAGTCAGGGCAAAACAGGTATGTGATCGCCCATTCGTTGATGAATATTTAAAATATATTTAATAGATTCCAAACTCATTCGCATTCTAAACACAACACATAAATGCTGCCAATGGCATATAAGGGGTATATTAGTTTGATCACACTTGCTGTTATAAATCAGTCTTTAGCCAAAACACATTCCCACTCACATAGAAAGTTTTTCTACTTCTCATGCAACTTTGAGAAAGCTCCTCTAAAAGGCTTTCCAGCTTTATTATCACAAACTAATATTTTAAAGCTACAACTTAACAAATATGCAAATTACAAGTTTCAACAACTAGCTAAAGCAGTTTGTTTGCTTTGGCAAAACAACGAATATCTTTGGCAAATCTTGCGTAAACAACTCACAACCTTTGAATTCTAAACACGCTCAGCACGCAAATAAATGCCGCCAATAGTGCCCACTACTAGCGACTTGGGATCGTATACAAGGGGTATATTAGTTTTATCGCACACTGTAAACTTGAAGTTCCTTATGAGCTGGACCAGCCCAATGCGTGTTTGCATTTGGCCAAAGCGCATTCCCACACAATTTCTGGGTCCATCGCCGAAGGGCAGCCACTCAACAGAGTCGCGAGCTGCCACCTGTTCCGGCGAGAAACGTTCCGGATCGAATTTCTCCGGCTCTGGATAGAGGTCTTCATCCCGGTGATAGGCAGCGGCGGGCAACACAACCTGAGTTCCCTTCTCTATGACATATTTGGGATGACCAGGTACAACATAGTCATTAAGAGCTTTCCTTTCGAGGAAAGGGCCTATAGTGTATAGCCGGAGGGTTTCTATTGAAGCAGATATGTAGCATAATTATGACTTCACTAAGCGCCAACTGCGGGTTTTAACTCACCAGAAATCACCTGATCCGCGTATTGCATAGCTTTTATACTTTCATAGGTCAGTTTTCCATCGTGTTGCTGCAGAACACTCTCAATATCTTCCCTTAGTTTATCCTGAATATCGGTATGTTGCGCCAGTTCATATAGAGCATAGCTCATGGTGGATGAAGAGGTCTCAAAGCCAGCCAAGTAGAAGACAAAGACCTGAGCTGCCAGCTCTCCAACATCCAATCCCGTAACTACTTCGCCATTATCCATCGTAAAGCTTCCTTTCTGCTTCAATTCAATTAACATTTGCATAAAGTCATTTCGTTTGATATTTTCCTTCTCTCTGATCGCGAGCGTCTCCTTGACTAAACTCATGAAGAACTGGTGAACATCTTCGGGAATCATGCGCATGCCCAGTTTTTTTGCCAGATTCGGAAAACTGAACTGAAATGCAGTGAGTAGAACTCCATGTCGCATGTCAGTGAACGATTTTTGGCCCATTTTACGGAAGTCAGTGATGGGATTGCGAAGGGTGTTGCACTCAATGCCAAAGGCAACTGTGCCGATCACATCCGTAGTAAAGCGCGCCATCAGATCCTTGATTTCAATGATGGCTCCTCCAGTCTTATCTGGGACTTCCTCCAGCATAACCTTAACGAATTCCTCGGACACTTTGATGACAGTTGGGAACATGAACTTCATCTTGCCAGATGTGAAAGTGGGTGACAGCTTCTGACGCATCTCCTTCCAGCGCTTGCCATCCAAGTTGAAGAGATGTCCAGTGAGGGGATCATCGCGTTCATTGTGGAACTGTCCACGATCGGCGAAGTTCGTGAAGTCCTTAATGAGAATATTCTTGGCCAGCTTGATGTCCATGATGAATGCGCTTTGCTTTTGAACAAAGCTAAAACCCACAAATGGATGTCCGGTGTTTCGGAACTTGTTGTAGTATTCAATCATGAGATCGTTCAGTACGCGAGTTTTCCTGAAGCCGACGACATTGCCATAGATCGGATGGGGTGGTTCCTGAGGTATGCCCCGGCTCTTCCAATAGTTCATGTTGCGGTGCACCAAGTACACCAGCAACGCTGATATGACGCTCAGTAAATATATGAAAAACAGCATTTTGTGTTCAGTTCTGTGGGACTGTGCGGCAAATACTAATCGCTGCTTGGAAATTCGCAGCGTATTTTATGCTCAATGTTTGTAACTCAGCATGAGTTGGCAAAATGCGTTTGTTGTGATTGGGCTGAAGCTGACAGTCATACTGATGCCCCACAGTCAGCTCTAGTATGTGTTTTGCGATAGCTGTTATTATCAGGCGAACCGGTCACTTACGTCTAGTGTTAACAAATACAAGTTTAGTGTACGAACTCAACAGGTTGTCCAACAAAAATGCTTATCATGTAGGCCCACATAACAGCAGCATCACATTAGCATTAGCAAATGTGATAAGAAAGGAATACAAAATAAGCCTCAAAACTTGAATTATTTGTAAACAAAATATCTGTTTGGCTTCGTCTGCCAACTGAAGCTAAGAAAATTAATTTAAAATTGTTTCATTTTCAGTTTTTTTGCTTTTGATTTAATCAAATGTAGATTGGTCTTGTTTAGGTAAAATGAAATTGTTGCGTGATACTTTTTGCTATAGCAATTCATCATTAAGTACTTAAGTATTGAAGATAGCATTCAACTGCTCAAATATACAATTTGAATTTTGCATTTCATCATGAATTGTTTTGGGTAAGGTGAAATCCATGGGGCAATTGCTACTTGGGCTCTAGTGGGAGGTCTTAGCATGAGTATAAGCTGTTGGATCTTAAGCCAACATGCAAATTTGAAGATAGAGAGTATCTATTGCAAATAGCCTTAAACAAAAATCAGAAATCTCTAAAAGTGAACTTCGAAGTCATGCAAACTGAGAGCATAAGCTTAAAGCCAAGTTAAGGCAGTTATTTGAATGATATACTAACTCGTGCAAAATGGCATGAATTTAGCTTGCAAAAAAATAAAACAAAAATCAAGAAAATATCTGAATTTATTTTTGTTTAATAGCAATTTCTTTTGGCATGGCTCTTATTTGGTCTGCTAATATATAGAGCCTAAACCAATTCCTATACTGCTTAAAAGAGATATTAGCTTATATATCTCTGTTGATATATTTTCTATATATTTAAATCAAATTCTATGTCTACCAGCAAGTGAGACGCCAGTCTAGCTAAGCAGAGTCTTAGAATTTGTAATAAGTGTAATAGCTTTTGTAATTTTGTAATCTGCTTATACTGCAAGTGCATTCTAACGGAATAAATCGCAAGATAAATGTTATTATTTGATGTCGCCTAAGTGATTATAAATTCTCTTTTCAGTTCTCGGTTTAACTGTGTGAAGTGCTCACTCAACTTTGCTTTCAAAGCAAACGCAATTATTGGCACTGTGCGTTGCTTTAAGCTCCTGTTGCAGCATGCTGTTCTCTCTGTATCTGTGTGTGTGTGTGTCCTTTTACTGTCCATTATGGTTTCGTCTTTGTGGACTGTAGCTGACAGCAACAGGCGGGCTTAAGCGCTGCATTCGCGCTACCAACAAATATTTTCCAGTTGACGCTTATTTAATTATGTGCATTGCGTTTTATTTACACAAAGTGTGGACGAAATTAAAATTGACATTTAAGAGGTGCGTGTTTTATATATTTAACACCTGCCCATTCAGATGTTTTCTTTTCCTTTTGTTTTTGCCACATTCCTTAAAACTGACCTTGGGCTGCTGCTGCTGCCGACGAATCATGTGAATTTTATGGCTGCATGGCCAACAAAGGGAATATATGATAATAAAAACTCAGTCAGGCACAAGTAGATGACGCTCTTGTTCTTCTTAAGCATAATGAATGCACAAGCTGAAACAAAAAGTGGAATGCATTCTTTCAACGCAGGCAGACAGGTGCTGGGCAAAAGCGAGGAGACTGCACTTATGCGCTAAATAAAAATGCAAATCTAAATGTAACATAAGAGCGAGTACTATATGCGGGCTAAAACCCACAGCAGCAGCAGCAGCAGCACAAAAGAAAACCTCGCCAAATATGTGTAGAGCGTGTGAAGAGCGCTCGACTTGTGTTTACCCTGTACTGAAACTGGGCTAAGCATTTGCAGGCTGTGAACAATATTTAAGCAGACTTTCAACTTATGGAGCGAGCTGCTTTTAGCTGAGTTTCCTTTCCATTATTTTATATATATTATATTATATTATATTATATTATATTATATTATATTATATTATATTATATTATATTATATTTTATTATGTTATATTATATAATATATTATATATAATTATTAATTTTCTGAGTTCTTAAACAATCGTATATGGACTTAACTTCTGGAATTACATATACTCCATTTTACATATATTTTTATATATAAATCTAGCTTTTTTCCTCATTAAACAATTTTCCAGCTTTTTTTCCAACTTTGTTAGGGTTTACATAAAATGGGAAAGACATCCAAATATTATGTTCTTAACTCATTTAAGCATTCTGAGCAAAGTTTAGAAACTTTTTTTTTTATTATATATTCTTTTGGACAGTATACGCCTTTATCATATTCTTTTTCATAATCATATATTCTACATGAAGTAGAATATATTTTAATATATTTTACAGTATATGATTATGAAGTAGAATAATATTCTACTTAATAGGCATATACTATCCATATATATACATATATACCTAACCTAAATTTAAGCTTGAAAGAAAATCTTTAAAAACAGCTAATTTAATTTCAAAAAAATTACCAAAAAAATATTTAAATTAAATAAAATTTGTAGTTTCAAGAAATTACTAAAAAAATGACAAAAAAATATTTAAATTAAATCAAATTTGTAGCTTCAAGAAATTCATAGAAAAATTATAAAATAATGTATAAAATACTTAAAATTTTTAGC